TAGAGAGTGAAGCAAGTTAGAAAGAAAAAGACAAATATCGAATATTAACACACATATATATGAAATCTCAACTCACGGTATCGACGATCCTACGTGCAGGGCAGCAAAGGAGACACAGATATAAAGAAGAGACTTTTGGACTCAATCTCAGGTGGATGACTGAGAGAATAGCACTGAAATACATACACTACCATATGTAAAACAGATATCCAGTACAAGTTTGATGTATGAAACAGGGCGCCCAGAGCTGGTGCTCTGAAACAACCTGGCAGGGGGCGGGGGGTTCAGAATGAAGGGAACACAAGTATACCTATGACTGATTCACACTGAGGGGGGGAAAACCACCACAATACTGAAAAGTAATTATCCTCAAATTAAAATAAGTATTTTTTTAAAAAAAGAAAATAATGCAATGAAATGGGGTTATTTTAGCATTATGAAAATCTCTCCATTCTCTTCACAAAGAGGGAAAATGTTGGAGAAAATATTTCCAATAAGCTACACAGAACAAAACCTTTGCCTGAAATCCTTAAATATCACTCTTCCTCTCAACCTCTGGTTAGCAAAAAAAAAAAAAAAAACCAGTCCAGATACTCTAAGGATATTTAAGTCTTAGAATATCAGTAACAAACAGAAAACTTTTTATTATCAATGGAAAGGATTTTTCTTTCCTCTGAAGGATAACATTGACAGTTAAATAACATCACCCACTGGGTACTGTTCTAAGCATCTAGTGTTATCATTCCTATAATCCTCACAACAATCTTATGTGGTAGGTAGTTATCTTATTATAAAGGTAACTGAAGCACAGAGAAGTTTGATAAGCTGGTTAAGGCCACACAGCAGCAGAGCTAGGGGAACTAGCACCTAAGTCCAGACTTCTAACCATCTGTTATACCATCTCTTAATTTTGAGAATCTCTGCTTATCTCCTCTGGTAACCAACAACAGCACTAATGCAGTCTCTGCACACCCAGTTATTGAATATGCTAACCCAGTAATGTATGTGAACCAATACCTATCACAATATCAGATGTGTTCAAAATGTCCACCATCAGCCTAATGCCCTGTTGGCAACAGAAAAACACCCTGTAGTTTGCTCCTACGGGAAGTCTAACTATTCCATTAAAACTAACAGTAACTGTGCTGCACTCAGTCGTGTCCAATTCTTTGGGACCCCATGGACTGCAGCCCAATAGGCTCCTCTGTCCATGGAAATTTCCAGGCAGGAATACTGGAGTGGTTTGCCATTTCCTACTACAAGGGAACTTCCTGATCCAGGGATTGAACCCGAGTCTCTCATGTCTCCTGCACTGGCAAGTGAATTCTTTACCACTGTGCCACCTGAAGAGCCTCCGTTTCCATTATTCCCCATTAAATGGGACAGCCACCTTGGGAGAGAGCTGAGATCACCTCCACACTCAGAAATAACATGACACAGTCAGGACTGAATGCTTGGATTTAAATTGTATTCGTTGCTGTGTGACCTTAGGCCAGTTACCAACTCTCTCTGTGCCCAGCTATCTGAATTATCACTTTCGGTATCACTCAAATAAGAGTATTCACTTCCTAGGGTTAGTGAACGATTAAAGAAATGAATGCCAAATGCCTAAGACAGTATCTGGTTCTTAGTAAAAGCTCCGCAAAGGTTAATTATTCCTATTTTTATTAAAGAGGTGGTTTGCCAATCCAGTACCTAGATTCCATCCTGCCCTTCCAATTCCAAATACCATCCTCTCTCCTTAGCAGAACTCCATGCTATTACTAAAAGTTACCACTCTCCTGAAATCCTGCTACATGCCAAAGCGCCCCATGAGACATTTTTCCCCACAGAATTGCTCACAGGCCCACGAAGTAGAGAATATTGTCCCTGTTGTGCAAATGATGAAACTGAGCTTATGAGAGGTCAAGTGATTCATCCTCAGTCACTTAACCAGTGAACACTTTTTGTTAGCCCTGAGTAACAGTTAAAGTTCCTGACAACTGTCTTCAATTTATGCAATTTTGTAAAGTGTCATTTAAAAGATATAAACTGTGATTTTCTTGCTTTGTTAGCTTTATCAGCTTGAGAGAAGGATTAAACCCCAGCAAAAACAGAATGTTTGACTTAAGTGAATTATCAAATATAATGCAGCCTCAATTAAAATTCTTCCCCTGCCTGCAGGGTGGCTCCAGGCACCTGAAATCCACCAAAGGTAATTTTTAAGAGGGTACTATCAGGAAGGAAGCCAGATACCCACCGTTTAAGAAACATGTCTTAAGAGGGCAGAGGGGAGCAGAAGCAGTGGATTCCTCTCTGGCTTTGGGAGAAAATGAACAATAAGTGATAGCATCTCTTCCCTGCAGCCTCACACAATGGTCTGTCTTGCAAATGAAACATACTGTGAAACAGCTTGTGAGATGAGCTTCATCAACAATAAGTAATTTTTATTCAGATTTTATTGTTGAATACAATGAACATGATTAAATGTTCCAGATATGCCTATTTAGACCTTAAGTAAACCACCACCCAAAAGAGAAAACAAAACAAAAATCACTAAAAATCATCTTCTAAATCTGCTTTAGGAAGAGATTTAATTGCCAGCTTGATGTGTAGAAAGAACTGAATCCCCACTTGATAGCCGGAGCTTCCCAAGAAGATGGTAACAACGCGTTTGTACTCCCCAACTCGGCCTCTTCTCTAATCCCTGCAGATCAGATCCTCCCAGCGTCGCCAAATAGTTACAATGTCTGTCTTTCAAATCACCGCATTTTGAACTTCCTAAACCTTTAAGAGGGCCTCTGTGTATGGAAAAGAACAATAGCGCTTCAAAAGCCATTTCTGCGAGTTCTTTCAATACTCCATTCATGAATGCTGGGGTTTCAATCAAGGACATCAGCAGACAATTTCTGATTGCTTAGAAGTTGACTTTTTTATTCAGCTTTGATTAGATCGCTCTTCTCAATGGGAAATCAAGAAAATCTTTGATCCCTTTCAGATTCCAGAATTGTCACCAAGCCTTGTCGGGACAGGGGTTGGAAGGAGATTGGGGCTAGGGAGGGTTGGGAAGAAGCTGCGAAGCGGCCGTTTTCCTTTCAACCTCTCCACCTCCCCCTCCTCCTTTATCTTGCCTGTGCAATTCAGGGTTCTAACCAGAATCACTCATTGTTGAGATAATAAAAACAATGAGTGCTAATTCAGGGGGTGGGGATGGTTTATAATTCTGTGGATTTCCCGAAGACCTATAATTGGCACAGAAACGTACGAACGTGAACCGGATAATTAGGGGGTTCTGAACGCAAGCCACCTTTAATTTATATGATCACTCGAAAACATGGTAAGTGTGATAAAGTTTCAGCAGAACCCCCATAAGGCCTTTATTCAAAACCATCAACATTTTGAAAGTGCGTTGAACGGGCCAGCGGGAGGGGAGCAGGAGGGAGTAAGAAACGATAGCTGTGGGTCCTCGCTTCAGCCCCCGCCGCCGCGTTAGGAGCTGCATTGAAGCATCCTTCTCGGAGGACTCGCCCGTCAGCCCAGCTCCGGGCAGCGAAACACGCACTCTCTTCCGCAGCCTCTCCACTCGCCCTTCTTTCTATTTTTTTTTTTAATTTATTTATTTATTTATTTAATCACAACCATAGTGCATCTTTTTTTTTTTTTTTTTACATGTATTCCCCATCCCGGTCCCTTTCTAAACGAACTAAAAGCCCAGGTGTGCGCCAGCCTCCAAACGCACAAGCAGACGCCGACCCACGCGGGCCCACACCCCACACGCCGAGACCCGCGCCCAAACGCAAGGAAGCCCGCGCAGCGGCGCTCTGCACTCCGCCCGCAGCCGCCGAAATCCAGACCGCGGTCGCCCGGCGCCCCCCGCCTCCCCACCCCCACCCCATTCCTCCAGATTCTCGCAGCCCAGGCGGAAGTGCCCAGGCAGACCCCCAACAATGAGGACTTGTGTGCTGCCGTTGGGGGTGGAGGGTAGTTTACGTGGAGTGAAACGTCGGGTCCGGCAGGGAGCAACGCAGGAGCAAAGTGGCATCAACCTCAGGCAACCTTCCCCGATGCCCCCCTCGACCCGTCCACCAGCACTTATACAAAAAAAAAAAAAAGTGCTTTAAAAAGTACACAGAATACACGCGCCCTCCCACCAGGGGTCACAATAATACTTCGCGGGACTAGCCAGCTTGGGGTGGAGAGTCTGGGCTGCAGCTACCGGTGTTTTGAAATTGACTTAGGATACTCAGCCACCAGCTCCTCTCCGACGACAACAGGACTCAAGCTCCCCCATCCTAGACTCCCTGACCCCAGGCTCTCTCGGCGGTTGAGTTCTCCTTTCAGGGCTCCTTTATGAACCGAACCACGCGGATTTTAAAGTTTACCCGATGAGGGGGTGGGGCGGGGGGTAGGCTGAGCTCTGCGGCCAAAACAGAGCGTCGAGTCTGGAGCAGAGAGAAGCAAGAGGGGCGAGTGGGGAAGAGAGGAGGGCGGGGGGCTGGGGAGCGGAACGGAGACGGCGGCAGGAAAGAACCGTGTCTATGGGGGACTCGGGAAGAGGTGGGTTCCGAGGAGACGAGGGGTACAGCTCCGATGCTGTTTGCAAAAGGGTAGGGGTTGCTGGGATAGATCTGGTTTTTCGATCTATCGATCGTAGCGGAACCGCAGCGCAGCCAAAGAGTAGGGAAGTGAAAACCGGGTTTGGCTGAGCATGGAAAAGGGTCGGACCTGGGGGCGCCGGCAGAGCGGCTGGGGATGGGCTCGGGAGTACCGGCTAGGTTTTGGAGCGGGAGAAGGAAGGCTCGTGGATGGCTGGAGCCGGGGACGCAGGAGGGAGGACGGCGCAAGGGATCCAGTAGAGAGACAAGTGTATTAGATGAGCAAGACTGGAAAGAGAACTGAGCGTGGTCAGAAGTGACACTGGGGATCCTAAGGGGAGACCCAGATGGAAGGAGCAAAGTCGCCTTCCCCAACAAGTGGAGGAAGAGGTAAAACTGCAGTCTCTATCCCCTCCGCACTTCTAGCCAAACTCCCGAGAGGGGCGCCCCTGGAGCCCTCCTCCGCGCCCGGGAGCCCCGGAGGAGCCTCCCGGGCATCCAGGCGCCGCGTCCCCGTCTGACACCTCTCGGTGCTGAACTCCGCGGCGGCCGCGAGCCTCCCGCCGTGCCTCACCTCTGCTCGCCGAAAGCATCCTTCTCCGCAGCCGCAGCCGCTCAGGAAGCGGCTCCCCATGCCCGGCGGGCGGCGGCACTCAGGCGCGCTCTCCAGCCCGGGAAAGCCCGGGCGATCGCCGAGCTGGGTCCATCCTCCCTGGGAGCCACGGGCCCCGCGTCAGAGCAGGGGGAGGAGACCGCCCCGCGCGCAGACCCGCCTCCTCCCGCGCCCCCGCCCCGCCGGCCCCGAGCCCGCCAAGCGCCGCTCACCTGCCCGCTCCCCGGACGCCGCCGCCGCCGCCGCCTCCTGGCTGCCCGCCGCGCGCCCTGGCTTCACGCTCCCTCCCGAATGTTCTGTGCGCCGCCCGAGCGCGCTCCGAAAGCTTCGCGGAGTCGAGGTGGTGACGAGGAGGAGGAAGAGCGAGCGAGCGGGGGCGCCGCGGTTCGCAGTCGAGCCTCTGGAGGCCTGGCGCTCACTCCCCATCCCGGGGTAGAAGGGGGAGAGCTGAGCCCAGAGCGCTGGGTCCCCGCCCCGGCTACGTGGGCGGAGAGGGGGCGTGGGGGCGAGATGGGGTAAAAGCCACCAGGCTCGGGTTGTCACAAAGTTTCCACTGGTTTGGCCCCTCGCCGTCGCCCCCGGCCGCCTCCGCCTGGCCTCCCTCATTTTTCTCTGGTCTACTCTTAGCGTCCCAGGCCTCTAAACCCGCGCAGGTCCAAACTGAAAAGAGCGCCAGTGCTCAAAAACTACAGGGCCGGTCCGGCGCGGGCGTGGGTACCCACTCCCCTTCGCCGGAGGGGGCGCTAGTTCCCAGCGGCCAACCCTCGTCTGTGCCCCCCTGTCTTCATGGAGGCTTCCCAGCAAAGTTGGGCACGGGCGAGGGAGGAGGCATGCATCTGTCACGCTTTCGTGAATCCTAGGGGGGGACTCAGGACCCAGTTAACACCCAGTGCTTCCCCTAGCCTTCTTCCCTGGCAACTCTGGTTCCCGGAATGCCCCGGGGTAAACAATCCCCAGATTAGAACAGGCACAGGAGAAGGCCAGACAGGATGTAATCAGTGGCTCCCTACTTCTGGTCCTAGCTTACCCAGATTCGCCAAACTGCAGAAAATAGTGTGTCGGTCAGAAAATTAATTCTTCAACCTTGAGACTGGATTTGACTCCAGTGAATGCCTGTTTGCACACTCATCTTCAGAGTCCTGAATGCCGATGTGAAAGGAAAAAAAAAATCGAGTCCAGTCCTGCACTGTTGGAGCAGGACGCAGGGAAGGAAAAGAAGATGCTGGCCTCAGTTCCTTTAAAAGTTTATTTTTACTCTTTTTAAGGGCCACACTCCTGTCCTCCAGCTGGGTAATAATGAAGCCAATGTGGCTGATTTGGGTTTTGCAACCCCCCCCCCCCATAGTTTCCATCAGTCACCCATGAAAATTTAATGAAGCATTTAGGGTTATTACTTCCAGAGTCAATGGGCTAAAAATATTTAGCCTAATGCACCCCTTGCAGAGCCAGTAGGTCCATGGCTGGTACATACAAAGTCATCGAGACCCTCCCTGCCTCCACAAAATTCACGACCCATTAAACTTATTCCATAATAACAGCTTCTGTACAAATGGAGGCCCCAGCAAACAGAGGCTGTCATGCACCTCCTGAAAAGATAGCAATTTACATGGAGACAGGAAAAAAGTGTGAGGTCACTGGCAGGATGCAATCTTGGGAGAAAAGTTGGTGGAAGAGAACTCCCAACAAGGTGGGGGGGAGGTCCCACCCATGGATGGTGGACACAACTCTTTCTATTTACTTCTGGGTATGACCAGCCAGCCTAATGGTGGGGACCAGAGAAAGTGGCTGAAGTCTTTCCAACTTTTCTAAAGTTCTAGAAAGTGGCAAGAATTATTACAGAACACTTAAGATACATCAGTAGGACGTTCAGGCTCACCAGACAACTCTATCAATAAAACACTTCAGTTTTCTCTTCCATAAAGACAGGCCTCCAGAGTCTGAACTCAATACAAAGAAAACCAGGGGACATTGACAAATTTCCCAAGACCTCGTTGAAATAGGGAAAGTGGGTGTAGAAAACCATCATGCACTTCAAACAACTGGGACAAATGTCAAACCTTAGGTGAATGAACACAGGTTTAACTTCATCAACTCTCCCAAAACCACTGAAGTTTCTCAATACTTGAGACAGCTGTGAAACATCAAAACTATTTACATACATTTTAAGGCCTTGCCTTTGAGAGCTGTGGACTTCACTCCTCTTCCTTCTTGTTCTATTTTCAAATGAGGTTATGATTACAGACTTTGAAGATAATACCTGCCAATGAGTGGTGGAGTGATAAAAATGGAAGGCACTCCTGTAAAACTCTCTTTTCATCCTTGGAGAATGTCCACCAGGGAAACTCAGAAAATTCCTTTTAAATCTGACAGGGGCAGGCAACAAGCTACAGCTGTTCCCAGCTCCAAGCTGAAGGAAAGTTATACAGATTGTAACGGTAAACAAGCTGCCTACCAAAGACCTAATAGTCTTCAAGTACTATTTTAAGTTTTTATGCCAAACGTGTCAAGAAACAACTCACATAAATATTAGGGTATTTCTTTAATTCTTTTGAAAAGAACAATATAGTTTGTATTATGTGTGGCATAAAAAACAATAAACATTCTTTTATCATCTACCCTGATAAATAGCAAAGTAATCAGAACAGCAAAGATGTATGCATTGCTTATTATATTCCAGGATTCCAGGCACCGTTCTGGGTGCTCTCCATTCATTAGCTCACTTAACCTTCATGACAGTCCAGGTAGTGAAGTACTCCTCTTGTGTGTACTGTATCCTGAGTCATCTTTGATAAGTTACTTACCTCTCTGAGCTTCAAAATTCTCAGTTCTACAGTAGTGGTACCTGCTTCAGGACATTGTGCAAGCTTTAAATGGAAAAATATATTGAACATGGCTAGCACTGAATAAGTCACTCAGTAAACATCGATTCTCATTCCAGAACAATTCCAAAATAGTTCACTTTAAATCAACTAGCATTTATAGAGTTCATGTTATGTGTCAGGCATTGTGGGAGGCATTGGAAATAATGATGATAAATCAGAAACATATCCTGCCTTTACAGAGCCCTGAGTCAACTGAATAAAAAACATGGGCATGAGTAGCATGCAGATGGACAGAAAGGAGTTTTATTGAACTTCACGTAATTCATCCCTATGCACATGATTCTTCAGACACCCAGAGGGGCAGCCTATATAAGTACTCTTTGAGACTGATCTGCAATTGAAGGCAAAATCAAATGTCAGAAATAATAAATCCAGCTAGCAATAATCACTCCTCCAAAGAAAGGGATGAAAAGTAGTTCATTTTGTGTATTATACATTATTTAAAATTCTGTTTATTCCTACAATCATTTCAAATATACCTCTCATTGGATGAAGTATAATAAAATGAATTTGTGCTGTAAGCTCTGAGGGTTTGAAACACAAATTATTCCATGGCCACTGTTTATTAAATAGTTTGTAATGCTTACATATGCCAGGAATATGCTAATATTTCTCTACACATAAAACTCTCAAATTAATAAAATTTTGAATAACGTTCAGTAGGAACACTTCTACCCAGCTTATTAGAAATATCATGTGTTCAAAGTATGCTAATACACAGAATGCACAAAATTTTCAAAGCTTAATACCAAAGGTATATAAGCTTCTCATCCTTTTCCTTTAAACTCATGTTCACACTCAGATTTTATTCATTTTTTCAAAAAATATTTACTGATTGCTTACTTTATACTAGGCACACTGTTGGGCATTGGCTAAGAAAGAAAACAAAAAGAAAAAAAAAACTTGCTTTTAAACAAAGGCTCATGAAAGAAACCCATCATTGTACTGCATCATAATAAATGCTATATAGCGATAGTGCTAAGTATGGGATGCTAGGTGAGCATCAAATCTGGACATTTAACCCAGAGGAGAATGCTAAGATTTCATGAAGGAAGTGATACCATCTTAAAAGAGAAATGAGAAATCATGTGAAGCAAGGAAAGGTATTTCAGACAAAGAAAAGAGAATATACAAAATCATAGCAGAGATTATTCTCTGGTTGTGGCTACAGTTGACTCTAGGGATTCCCAGGTGGTGCTTGTAGTAAAGAATTTGTCTGCCAATACAGGAGAAGCAAGACCTGAGTTCGATCCTTGGGTTGGGAAGATGCCCTGGAGTAGGAAAAGGCAACCCACTCCCATATTCTTGCCTGGGAAATTCCATGGACAGAAGAGCCTAGGGGGCTACAGTCCACAGGGTTGTGAAGAGTAGGGTGCACATGCACACACAAACACACACATATAGTTGACTCCAGAGAAGCAACATAGACTGCAAAGGGTCTTGTTTACCATATTCAGGACTTTGGAATTTAGTGTGAAAGAAAAGAGGTCCTTGTTTTATTGTTTTTGTTTTTTTTTTAAAGCAGAAAAGAAAGTATTTTGTAAAATCTTTCATTAACCATACTTCAGATACTGTTCTTGTGTTCTGGATACACAAGTAAAACATTTAAAAGCAATGAAAAAAAAATTTCTGTATGACTTCATCAAAACAGAAGTTCCCTTCGTGATACTAACCTTGCTTGATTCCAGGGAAAGGTTGTGTGGCAATATTACTAAACTTGACTTTGGTTTGCAGTCGCTATAAATAGCACTCCTTTTATTTTTCCAAGGAGGGGGTGGAGAAGAGTAGCAACACTGCAATTGTATTTATGCCACCAATCTGCTCTTTTTAGCTAAATGCACGGTAGAAACAACATGGAGAGCTAAAGTGATTGTCAAAGGCTCTTAAGTTCCAATACAAACCCCCAATTTTTTCACTCACAGAGTAGAGCTTAAGGTGATTTTAGTGCTTGAACACAGAAGTAGACTGAAAGCTGTCAGAAAAATGATTGAGTCTCTGATGCCTAGAGAGTATCAGAGGCAGAGAAGAATATGCTCACCATATGAATACAGCTGCCATGCATTTTGTGGCTACTGTGTTAAAGATATGACAAATATTTGTTGTTTGCCTCTTTGGGGCCATTCCTCTTTCTTCTCCTTGGGGACCATTCCCCTACCCAATAATTTTTTTTTTCTATTTAGTTATAGGAGAGCTAACTACCCATAGCTTGAGGGATGGACAGGTGCCACACATTTCTTGGCCACAATTCAGGGATGGTCAAATAGGTGACCTGTGTACTTGTGACAGAGCAAGTAGGAAGACTGTTTTCTCCCTACCATTGGACCAGACACTGAAAAGTCTGTAGCTGCAGAAACCCATTCCATAAGAGAAGTCTTTGGAGAATGAAATTAAAAGACACTTGTTCCTTGGAAGAAAAGCTATGACAAACCTAGACAGCATATTAAAAGGCAGAGAAATCACTTTGCCAACAAAGGTCCGTATAGGCAAAGCTAGGTTTTTCCGGTAGTCATGTATGGAAGTGAGCGTTGGACGATACAGAAAGTTGAGCGCCAAACAACTGATGCTTTCAAACTGTGGTGCTGCAGAAGACTCTTAAGAGTGCCTTGGACAGCAAGGACATCAAACCAGTCAATCCTA